CTTTATCTTGGTACAGTGGGTGGTCCCGACACAAGCTATCACAAGGCGCATATCTCAACTGCCGGGACTATGTTCCAGCGATTAGTCTTCACCTATTAAACTTTTAACTAGCTGTACAGCGGCTCACCATATGAATTCTTATAAATAAAGAATTCAAGATTAGCCCAAAGCGCTTGACTTGGACTTGACACCCCGATAATTAATGGGAAGTAAAGGTTTCTCAGATCATTAGGGCAGTCTTAGACAACAGTACGGGGGACAAATAGTTTTAAGTATCTTGAATGTAATACTTGGAATACGCATTTTTTAATTATGAACGAAACCACGCAATTTGAATTCACTGGACCTGGACCTTTTTTGTCTGATCTCTATTACTATCACGAGTCCACCATTGGAAATACACATGATTAAATATAAGAAGAAAACATTGACCAGGCGATAAGGTGCAACCTTTAAAGGAATCTCAATGGCACATGGGAGACTCAACGATTTTTATCGATGGCCAGTGTGGATTTTGTAAGCCCTTTCAGGAAGTGTTAAAGGAACCATGGCAAAGTTATTTTGTTCAATGAACTTGCAATTACATCAATAAAATACCGTCGCGCTTCACTCTGAGTTTATTCATTGTGAGCAATGCAGTATGTCAAAAGTTTACCCAAGTTACAGGTACACCTTCACCTTTCCTGATTAAGGCTTTATCCAGTCAAACTTATCCTCCAGGTAACGATATGCGCGGAGGTCTCCGGACCTTGCGTGACCCTCGAAGAGTTCCACCCTGGCAGCTCTCCCACAAAGTTGACCAAGCTTGCCACTCTCCTGGGCAGATGTGACCTCCTGATAAGTGACAGTGCGGAGAAACTTGCCTACCCACAAGCCGCCTGTATACCTTGCCGCGTGTTTGGTAGGCAAGACGTGGTTGGTACCGATACACTGTTTGAGAGACTATTAGCATGTTTTGCAAGCGACACTCGGCACTCCTTACCTTGTCACCAAACGAAACGCACGTCATGGGGCCCAGGAATAGAGCCCCATAATGTTTCATCTTTGTAAGAGCATCCCTAGGATTGGCAGTGAGAATTTGTACGTGCTCAGACGCAAATTCATCGGCTATCTGGTATGCCTCGTCGATAGTGTCGGCCAAGATGACCTCCCCAAAATCACGCCAAGAAACACTGGCCACAGCTGCTGTCCGGAGAGTAGTCAGCTGCTCCTCGCAATACTTTATGGCACGCCTAGCCACATCGTCCGATGTAGAAATCAAGACGGCGGGAGTATCTGGCCCATGTTCAGCTTGAGACAGCAAATCAGTGGCAACCATGTAAGGATCAGCCGTCTCATCCGCTACAATCAAGACCTCGGTTGGCCCAGCAAAGAGATCAATGCCGATCTGCCCAAACAACTGCCTTTTCGCCTCTGCAACGAAAGCGTTTCCGGGGCCCGCAATGAAATCAACCTTGGGGATGGTTTCCGTCCCGATAGCCATTGCCGCTACAGCTTGGATGCCACCAACTATAAAGATCTGGTCTGCACCCGCAAGATGCATAGCGGCAACTGTTGCCAGAGGTATCTCGCCTGATGCAGGAGGCGTACAGGCCACAACGTTTCTAACCCCTGCTACCTTGGCAGTCAAAATAGTCATGTGTGCCGAAGCTAGCAACGGATATCTTCCTCCAGGAATATATCTAGAGTCAAGGTTAGCACGAATGAACGAACTTATCTCAAAAGAGTCCCGGGGCACTTACGCGCCAACAGCATCAATGGGGTTATTCTTTTGACCAAGAAAGACACCTGGCGCTATTTCCAACTCAAACTCTCCAATCGAATTCAATTGGGCCTCAGCAAATTTTCGGACGTTTGATTGAACAGTCTTGATGTCTTGAATGACCTGCTCTGGGACTTGCGCCATGACATGGTCAATATCCTCCTTGGACAGCTGAAAGCTGGAAGGCGACCATTTATCAAATTGCTCGCTGTATCTGCGCACGGCATCGTCACCTTTTCTGCGAATACTGTCAATAACCCCTTTGACTATACCGGCCACATCAGGTGTTGATCCATTAGTGAGTTTACCAGGCGAGTCAACGGCACCAGGCCTTTTGAGGTACGTTCGAGTCATGATGCGTTAAGTATTTAAGATCGGTCTGATCAACAAATACTAAAGAATGCAGGATATAACTGAGCACTGCAGATTGAACCCCTCAAATAAGACAAATGACTTTGATATAATTAGCTATTCAATGCCTATAAGAAACAATTCCTCTGCTTGACCAATCTGTTATAATCTCGGTAGTGCCCGAATCTTGACCTTGGTCATACAGGGCTAGTTGTTCGGCTGCCCATCGGCTTTGAGGGGGGAGGGGATCGGGAACGTGGGCGGATTGCGGCGGGGTATAGCCACTGCGAGGACGTGAGTTGGAAACCTTGTCTTCAACCGAGGTAGACTGTTTAGTGGGAAAACTAACCTTCAATGGCCAGATATTGGCATTTCAAGCGACTGGCCATAGACAGGTGATCCAATGCATTCATCGGAAATCATCCTCTCGACAAGATCCTGCCAGACAGGGCAGATCCGTTTGGATGAAGGTTGATCGAAACGACAAAATCTTCGTGCGACTGGAGAACTGGAGCCAAAGCCTCGTAAATGTACTTTGGACAAAGTTGCTAATCGTTTGGCTATAGTTCTTGAAGACTTTTCTTTACTGGGCCAGCTTGTGTCAAAGACCCGAAAAGAAATACCTGGAGCTCGCCAAACTATAATCTCGTCCGTCATTTATGCTATCCATTCGAAGGGGAGGGGAAAGCTCCAATTTCCCAGTGGCTTTCAAGGAGTTACGTAGGAGCTTCATTGAGTACACAAGGTTGATGGAACGCAGGTAGTGGCGAACATCCAAATAGAGGTTCATAGAACAAATTAACGAGTGAAAGCTTGATTGGTTTATGGTACTTTATAATGAATTTCATCCTCCTTCGGCCAGTTTAGACTCAGTGTATCTACCTAATAAGAGTAGCTTCTCTCTCAAAGACTGAAACCTGCATCGACGACCCCGTTCTGTCCAGTAACTGATCTTGACACGACAAAACTCTTGACTTGCTCTGCGACGTCTTCAACCGTAGCAAATCGCTTCAACTTGTTTGTATTGCGAGCAATCTCAAGTCGCTCCGCAGGGAAAGTAAGGCCCCATTCCTAAGGAAAAATGAGTTGACCAAATCCGAAAAACAAAAGGGTTATTACTTACTGTGAGCAGAATTCCTGGTGAGATGGTATTCACCCTGATCGATGGGGCTGCTATTTTAGCAAGACATTTGCCAAGGTGGATCTGGGCAGCTTTTGTGACTGCGTACGGCTATATTGGCAATTGTGAGTGAATGAAATGAAAGTGCCTGTGACATAAGAGGGGATAATATACAATACTGCTTCCACTAGGCACCACACCAGCCAGACTAGCTGTGGTCACGAAGACAGCACCTCCAGCTTCTCGTTTGTTGCTTTCCTCAAGGTACTCCTTGGCCGCGTGAAATAGCCACAAGTGACTCTTGACGTTAGCTACATAGCAGCGGTCCCAGTCGTCCTCGTCAACATTGTCATCTATATCTGAGAATTGGCGCATCCGTGTCCATCCAACGTTAGATATGACAACGTCCAAGCGACCTCCAAACCTCGAGGCTGCTTCATCGACAAGCGATCTTATCTGCGTCTTGTCACACGTGTTTGCTTGTATGGTTTGAATCGAATTGCAGGACTCTGTACGTCTTGCGTCGCATTCCGCCTGTATGTTTTTGACCAAGTCTTGAGCACGAGATATGTTGCTGTTGAAGTTGATTACGACGTTCATGCCTAGCTCGACTGCTAAAATGCGAGCAATAGCAGCGCCAAGTCCACTGCTGGCAGCTGTTACCAGTGCAACCTTGGCTTGGTAAATACGTTGTTGACTCATTGTGACCGTATGGATTCACCAAACATGTTGTTTATTGCTCATGAGAAATACACATTAGTGCTGACTAATCATCTTTTTAGAGCCCTGTATTCTGCCTCGCGAGATCCCCCACTTGGACTGCGGCATGCCCTCCCCCTCACTTCCGAGAGACCTTCTTACTTTTCTTTTCTTTCTTTTTTAGCTTAACTAACTGTTTTTGAAGGCTTAAGTAGGCCTAAAATGAACTTTTAAACTTTTACCTATCCTTTATATCTCTTTACCATTTACATAATGGCGCCCTACTAGTGGCTCTTTAACAGTATAAAGTTATAGGGATAAATCTCCGAGTATTTTCAATACTACCTGTATTGCCCTTATCCTTAAATGCGCTACTACTACTATTTTACCTAGCCCTATGTTTCATAGGATTTTTGGTACTTACCTTTATAGTATAGTTTTATTTATATTATAGTTTAAGTTAGGATATTTACCCTTTTAGCCTTTATCATATTAACTACTTTTTATAGAATTTTTTATTAAAAAGGCTTGTTAGTAGTTATCGCTTTATAACGTGATTACTAGTACTACAAGTCTACTATATAAATAATTTGAGAATGCTTGTAAAATGGGTTTATTGCTAGCAGTCTACTTAAATCTAATTTAAAATAATCTATTTCCTAGGAAGACTTATTAAGCTAGTTATGTCTTAAAATAGAATTATACCTATTATAAAGCTAGTCTTATTAAAGTTCTAAATATTATTTAATTAAATATTATACTTTACAATTATATGTTATATAATCCTAAACCAACTATAAATAATAATTAGATCTTTATTTATATAACTGCTTAACGAAAAGTGCAACGGCTTAGCCAGCAACGGTAAAACGGATGAGATTACACTTGTGGTCTCTCTGCTCCACAGTGAATCTCATTACAAGTAATCCACGCCCGACCAACCCTCGGCCTGTTATCTTCAGTATCTCTTTTCTTGATAACATCTTCTCTGGGCCATTAGATATGTGACTTGCATTTTCCTTTACAAATATGGTCTGTAGCCTCGTTTAAACATCTGAACAAACCTTAGCGTAATTGGTTTAGTGGTAAAATTCTCCGTTGCCATTCAATGAATGCACTATCGGGGAGCCCTGGGTTCGATTCCCAGATTACGCATGTCTTTTAGCATCTTGTTGTACTTTTTTGACCTTCAAAGACCGTTCAGGGGTTGTTATTCACACGGCCCCTAGTAATTTGTGTTGAGGCGTTGCGGTATCCTTCGTCATCGAAATGATCAGCGATACAAATTGAGGTTTCCATTTCACATGGCTTGAGTGTGAGTTTGGTCGATATTTGCACAAGGCTATAAAATGATCTGCTTATCATACATACCAGGATTTTGAAACTTCAGGATGACTGGAAGACGGGTTAATTCTTTTGATTGCCCTGTATCAGTCTATTCCCCCTAGCCAGTACAGGCTAGGGGCTATATGCATAGATCTATCAACAAACGATTCAATTATGAACCTTCGGATCTTTCAGATATCCCCTTTGAACTAGCTCAAACTCCATTCTTGTACCCTGCACCCAACTTAGACCCACGACCAAGGTCCTGTCAGGCATATCTAGTTTGAGGTTCTTCCATTGTTTACCATGTCGGTACCTTCGCCCGTGTCATGGCCGCTCGTTTGTCCTCCATTGATGTTGTAGATGGGAGGTGCTCAACAGTGAAGGTTCCTCCAGCGAGACTATGAGTGGTTGTGCAGACTGGGCGAGTCTATATAGCTGATCGTATATTGCCTGCCATATGCGTTGGAGAGGCAAGGTGGGTAGGGACACATCACGGTCAACCTGTATGTATCCCATAGTGATGTTGCTGTCGAGCTGATGCTCGGTGACGAAGGTACTCAAGTGAGGGTCTGTCGATTGCCATCATTCGGATGGTGGCATCCGTACTGGTGGGTTCCAGTCAGGTTCAAGGCTGTTATAGTGTGACTCGTATTAGCGCCTGACGCTATGAAGAAACCATAGTGTGATAAGCCTGCTAGCCTGTAACCATAGGGAAGATGTCTTCACTTTTGGGCCTGTGGCCTAGTGGAAGCTTTGCGACACATCTCGGATGAGTGCTTGTCCCTTGAGACGGCAGGGCGACACGGATAACTTACTGGCAATACCGGCACATTACAAGTGATGAATAAGATCTCATTGCGATTTCTCAGCCTTGCCAGGCGGGAAGAATAGGGCGTTTATTGAATCTAGATCACGGTGAAGCTAGCCAGCCTTGTGGAATGTATAGATGTAGTCACAGACGTCAAATGCTAACTGAAAACTGTGGTCAAGGAGTGGGTCATAGTGGCCCTTCTCAGCCTTTAGCAGTTGGCACAAAGGGACTGACTCGCATTGGGGAAGCTTCAATTCGCCAAGATCTTTATTGGCACCGAAGTCCAGTAAGGAGAAGCTGAATAGAATGAACTCCGAGCTAGACTCAGAGCTCGAAATCAGGAAAAAGGTTGCAGGCATGCGTCGAGCTACAGATATTTCATGGCTTGTGGCATGCGCCACCATTAACACTGATGCTTTCAATCGTGACTAATGGGTAGCCCAGTCCAGCAAATCCGTATATCCTACTCTAGCAGCTTGATGTGTACATACGACCAAAGGTAGTGGAAAATACGGGATCCCGTCCGCTCTCCCAATTACGCAGTCAAGATAGGCAATCACCTGACATAAAGCCTTCTCTCGCAATAATTAGACAAGCGCTGCAGAAACTTTCCTTTGTTTTTTGTGTAATGTGAAAATACGGCCAAGTATTAAGCCCGGTACGCAGGACTTCCCAATGATAGCTAATGAAGACACGCTCTAGTTAGACGGCTCTTATTCCCCTTTACGAAAATAACCATGTCGCTGGCATGTGGTCTGGGTATTCCCAAGGAGCTGAAGAGGAGATGCCGAAAGCAGGCATTCTTATAAGTTCATACGATCCACCAACCCTCTGTTCACGGGGCTCATCGGCCAGCTCCCAAGGTGAATAAGACTTTAAAAGTTAGCTAAACCGACTGGTTCAATACGAGCTCGTCAACTTAAGAGATTGCACGCCATGGTTGGAGTCTAGACTGTAATTACTGTAGTCTTAGTCGCCGGACTAAGACCTACTAGAACCCAAGAACGAAGACCGCACTCTGCAGCGCCTTCCCCGAGAAGATCTGCCCGGCTTTGCCCATACCGAGATATTTAGTGTGCTGTAACCTGTTTATTGGCCTAAGCTTATGGCTCCTGGCACTATGATGTCTGGCTATGTTCGGCATCTGCATCCTTTCACGCTATTTGTCAGGGGTATGGGTTCTTTAACCGTTTACTATTGAGTAATTAAAACTTCAGTTCATGATAATGGCCTGAAATTTTCCTGTATTGATCAGAAATAAATTATTAAAAGAAATTAACTTCCATCTGTTCGTCTTGAGTAACCTTCGCAAGGCCTGCATTAGGTTTGAACTTGATATCGATTAAATATTCATTTCTGGTCGACAAACAACGTCAGGGAAAGTATGATTTTTATTGACATATCAAACTCAAGCATTGTAGGTACTGGATTAATTATATTGATGGATCTCATTCACTGCTTCCAACAAGATGCCAAGTGATCTTCGGACTATACTGGTTTGCTGGCAGCTACCTTCAGTGGATGAGCCTCAGTGTTATAGACAAAGAAGTTCTTGTTGTTGTCGCTGCCAGGTGTTGCAGATAGCACATCCCACTCGCCCTTGTTCTCTGTCTGTATAAGCCACTGATACTTAAGGGTCTCGGCAAGCATAAAGCTAGCCATAATACTCCTGCGCGTCCCATTGCCATCGGGGGCTAAGACGTTGTTGATACTAGCAAAGCCTCCACCAACACGCATGGTTCGGTTCTGGGCCAGTACATAATCCCATGCAACATCACGCCAGTACTGATCGCCTGTGCGCTGGTAAGCGTAATACCAGCTTTCAACGGCCTCTGGGGCTTGGCCACCCGCAAAGGCGCCGTCTGGAATGAAGAATCCAGCGCGCTTGTATAAGTCGGTTTGGTTGACATTATCGGGTTCGGTCAGCTCCTCCAAATCCCAGCTATACAACGTCGGACCAATACCAGACGCGGCATTTCGATATCCATTGGCACACCATTCGCTGAAGGAAAGTCCATACTGCAACCAGTCAGGGCGATCCATAGCTGAGCTTCCCAAGATAAAAGAACCTCCAATGAAGCAGGCGAGGAACTCAGTGTGATTGACCTGCTGCTTTCCCGTAAAAGCTGCTGCCATGGTCAAGTCGGGCCGGGATGACGGATGAGATAGCAGATGTGCGATAGTTGAGTCGGCGGCCTGGGTGAAGCGTTCACCATAGTGACCAAATCTTTCTGGGTCATAGACATACATCTTGATGAGGTACTCGTAGGCTGAATCATTGCCTGACGTCCATCCTCCGTACTCATCCAATATCTCGCCCGTCTCAACACTGAAGTTGCCGCCAGTAAGGCCAGGCCAGATTTCAGAAGACGGAGATAGCCAATATCTCTCGGCCCGATTTGCAAGCTCTCCATACTGTGGATCACCAGTAAGATCTGAGAGATGTTGCCATTCAAGCACAAGTGAGCCCATAACGGCCAGTCCTGTAGTCCGCGTTCCATCTGCCATCGTGTTTGCGTTGCTGAATGTCCTATTCTCGATGAACACATCGTTGATTGGGATCCCCGACGGTGTGTCAAAAGCAAACTTGAGCGTATCAGCCAGTACCGTAGCCTGAGTCAATAGCGCATCGACCTTTTCCTTATCCACTTTGAGATGGCGGAAAGGTCCCTTGAGAAGATCGTAGGCACCCAATAGGCCGCCGAGATAGCGGATATTCGTCTCGAAAACACTGACGCTGCTGGGCTGTGGGGTGTTTGTTTTGGTGAAGTTGATGGTGGGAATAAATTCAAGGATTATTTCAACAATATCCGTTTGCTCCATCATGATGGCAGTATCGAGTCCGTCAACAGCAGTAACACCCCATCCATTGCGATCGTCCGTATAATTGTTAAACTTGGGAATTAATGAATCGTGTGGGAAAGCGTGTGTATAGTAACCATTCCATGCGAACCGAAACATTTCGACTATGGCATCTGCACGCTTGCTCTGACTCGGCTCAAACCCAGTGTAGTCAAAATCGCGCCCGCGTTGCTTCGCATAACTCAATCCCAAGTCGACCTCAGGTTCACGCGAAGTAGCATGTGCAAAGCTTATCAGCACAGCACTGAATCCAACGATGTGATACAGCATTTTGACGTCGATAGAAAGAAGCGATGAACCAATTTTCGACAATTGGCGAGGTCGGTGAGTTTTAAACTACCGCCCTTCAAAGACAAACTTCAGAAGTGCCGAAATTTGGGCCGACTTCTCCTCTTAGTAAGATAATTAATTGGACGAATGACTTGTGTTGTTCTTGAATTAATTGATCGACAGGGGAAATTGAGTTTAATGCTTTGATTAATTATTATGCACATGCTACATAATCTCGGCAGTTATAAAACCCCAACTCAAGGTTCGCTCCACCCATGGATTCATGATTTCGAAGAGCAAGCCCAGGCTTTTTCCGTAGCTTTTCGCAGTCGCTCAAAAAAATTAGCAGAGTATACAGAACACAAAGCTAGTGTGAAGGCATTTAGACGTGTTCTCATGGTCTAGATCAAGCTCAGTTTGGTATTGCGGACTACCCGGCCCACTCCTGGAGGTTTGATAGCACGTGGCTCCTTTTGAGGGGAGTGGTCATTAAAGTCCTCGGGCTCGTGGCCGAGGTCGGGGAAGAGCGCGGAGGATTCGGCAACGCTCAAGTTATGGTTATCTAATTATTGCTCGATCAATTGGTGCTCAGTCGGTTTGTTCGGATCATAACTTAAGCCAGGCAGGCCAGGCGACCTAGGGATACTGAAGTGGGCGACACTTGAGTAGGCGATGCTCCAAGTGTCGGTTTTGCCAGCAGCCTCATTGTACTGTGCCGGGAGTCTCAAGAACTGTGTTGGCCGTGGTTTCCGTTAGGTAGAGGGGGGGTCGTGGTCGGCCAGAACTGGTAGTTTGGTGGGTAGTAAATGTGACGCGAAGGGCTCTTTGGTTATCCTCAAGTTAAGGAGGCGTAATATTGTGTTTCTAGAGAAGGCATGTGAGT